TTTTGAATGGAGTGACGGTGAAATAGGTGTAACCATTTATCAAACTTCACCAAGTTGTACACTTAAGATTCATACATTTTATCGTCAATGTACCTCATTTAAATTATACTTAAACTTTTCAAGTTTTTATCTGTAAAAATAACCCACTCTAAAATTACTAACCTTTCAAAATTCTCAAGAGATTGTGAGCTTTCAAAAAGGCTCAACAGACAATGCTTTTCTCAATCTGAGCAAATGACATCTTCATTCATCTAATTGTTCAATCAGAAATCTGAGAGGAATTCTTGACACATCCCTGTCATCAAGTTCTGAAGGTGCAAGTCCAGGTCATCTGAAACCGACTTCCTTCCCCGCAACTGTCACCATCAAGCCACTAGCAGGTCTCACCTGGTCCAATGCAATATCCTCCTAACCTGTCTTCCAGTCACCTACCACTGCTCAGAAACTGAAATCTGATAAAGTCATTCTCTTGCTCAGGGCCCTTCAATGCCTTTCTCAGAACAAATGCCAGCATCTTTAACGTGACTCCCACACACACATCCCTAACCTTTAGTGTCCTCCCCCAAGTCATCAACTGTCAATCTCATGCCACTTACCTTTTGCTCACTCCCATACTCTAGCTACATGACCTTCTCCAAGCTTCTTGTGAGTCAAGATTTTCCAGGCCTAGAGCCTTCATTAATGCTGTTCCCGCCATCTGGAAGATTCTTCCCTTCGTCCTTCAAATGGCTGCATTCCCACCTCGGCCTCCCAAAGTACGAGGATTACAGGCGTAAGCCACCCCGCCCAGCCCTGTTTAACAGTATTTAACATCACTGCTTGCCTAAGCCAGAGGCCATGCAAACATCTGGCCAGTGAGAATCACACAGGAGCTCTTCAACATGTTTACACTACTGAGATCTACCACTTACTTTCTAATATTACAAGTCATTTTACTTATAGTCTCATTTATATAAGCTTATTATATATAAACTCACTTATAAAGCAAACAGGTATATGTATTTGAGAATAATAAAACTGGCCAGGCATGGTGGCTCAGATCCGTAATCACAGCGCTTTGGGAAGCCAAAGCAGGTGGATCACCTCAGGTCAGGAGTTCAAGACCAGCTTGGCTAACATAGAAAAACCCCGTCTCTACTAAAAATACGAAAATTAGCTGGGTGTGGTGGTGCATGTCTGTTGTCCCAGCTAGTCAGAAGGCTATGGCAAGAGAATCACTTGAATCCAGGAGGCAGAGGCTGCAGTGAGCTAAGATCAAGCCACTGCACTCCAGCCTGTGTGACAGAGCAAGACTCCATCTTAAAATATATATATATATATATATGTAAATATCCCAAAGTTGATACCTGTCTGACTTTCCTACTGTTTCCTTAGCCTCGAATTATTCAAAGTTAATGAGGCTCTACATTAACAATCTTCAGGTTATTGAGGGGCTGTGAATACCAAAAACAGAAATATAATCCAGAAAGCTACACTAAAGCCCATCAGGCAAAAATATGGGGTCCAGTTAATGTTACTGAAAACACTCAACTCTCATTGTATTTCTATAGTTCCTTCATCCAACAAACATTTCTCAAACTCCTCTGCTACATCAGGCACTGCTTCAAGAGCTGGGGTGGACAAATGGGCCAAGTCCCTGCTCTCATGACACTGCATTCTAATGGAACAATTAAGGGAATTATGTCAAGTGGAAGTGCTATGCAGAAAAATGAAGGGAGTTAGGGCACAGGGTTATTGTCAGGCTATTTTTGAAAGACTAGTGAGAGCCAAACACTAAATCCGATGATTCTTCAATGTTTTCAAGTTTGCGTCCAAAAGACTGAAATACATTAACTTCTTCCCTTTATTCTATAAATAGGGAAACTACCTGAACAGCTTCTAGAAAGTGGGGGTGGGCCATTAGGTCAGCTGTGGGGAAGAAAATGTTGAAAAATTAAATGATAAACCCTAGGAAAGCGTTCTGTTCGAAACAATGAGTTTCTAATCTTCAAAACTGAAGGGTCTCAAAGAATTTTAATGTGCACTTCCCCCACCCTGCTACCATCAGAAGGAAAAGTTGTCATCATACCTGTTTTCTAAAGACAGAGATGAAAGGAACTGCTCAATTTCACAACTCATAATTATTAGAGGGAAAAGTATTCAATGATGAAAATATTAACTGAGCACTGACAAGAAACAGAAGACAAAGATCAGTACATCATTTTGGCTAGGAAAGAAAAAGAGCTAAAGGGAGAGAATGGTACCTAAGCTAATTCATTCACTTTATGTGTATCTTTACAATAAAGTTTGATAAATTTTTTTCTAATATACTTTACCTTCCTGAAACCACCAGAGTCCCATCATCGAGTAAATAATCCTTCACATTCTGAGGAAGTGGAAGAATGACACTAAAAAAAAAGTACACCAAAAAAGGCATCATTTTATAAGACCAACTCTAAGCAGACAGAAAAAGGTGCACATCTGATTAATTTTTGAATTATGTGTTTTAATATAAATTAGAAAATATTAGTGCTATACATTTGGTAGCAGTAGACATGGAATTAGAATAGTATGATTACCACAATGGTCTTTGTTGTAAACAACAACAAAAATTAGCCAAGTCCAAACAACCAGATGGAAATCACAATCTGAAAGCAACAACCTCAAAAGGATTCTGAGTGAGCACAACATTTCTGTGTCTTTAAGAAATCAGAGACAGGCAGATATTTGCTGCAACACAGGAAATGCAGCAAAACAAACCAGAAATGACTAGCATTTGGTCACCTTCTAAAGATAGAGGGCAGAAGTAGAGTCAAGAGCTGGAAACCATTCTTTGGTTGGCAATGAGCACCAACCGCTAAGAATTCATGATACTTTTGGATGTGTTTTTCTGGCATTCTATTCAACTGATCACCAGAGAGACGAAGCTGCTTAACTGGGCATGCTTTAGCTTAATTTGTTTCAGTTAATCATAACTAAGGATGGCAAAGCCATACTTGAAGTTACTTAAAAACTTATGGGATAACGTGTCTTTTACCTTGAAATAATAAGTAATCAAAAATCCCTGCCACAGATATCTAAAAGTGCTGCCATTATTTTGCTCTGGAGGCATATAGACTTTTTCTAAGTGGAAAAGATTACAGCCTGCTTTCAGGGAGTCAACAGAACATCTATGCCTTATAATATGCCTCATTTGTTTATGGAAAAAGTTTTTTCTGGCACATTACAAATAGTTTTTGTGCACAAAAAAAGTATTCATGGGCTACTTCAGTTTTTAAAACAAATATTTATGAAAGGTACGATTTCACATTCAAAAATCTAGTTCTTCCTTGGGCTTTTAAGTTCATCTAACATATCTTATTATTATGTTTGTAAATCTACTAAATTTTAACCAATTTCAAATGAGGCTTTGCAATTTAAGTCTCTTTAAAAATTTAAATTCTATTTATAAACTACTTAATTTTCTTAATATGTCTAGTGGCTGATTACAAATAAGCTTTCCTAAGTATTTTACTCTTACAAAGCTAAGCAACGAAATTGTTAAGTACAATGAATCTAAGGTTCTACCAGACATTACAATACTATTTAAGAACTTGAAACTTTTCTTATCCATTTTAACTGACAATTCTAAACCAATTACACAAATTTTTCAAGTACATATCCGATCTTTATTGAACGAAACCATTATATAATGAATCAGCAATTACTGAAATGTTGGCTCAGAAAATCAGTAAGTGCAAAACCCCGATTTTCTATCAACACCTTTTAAAAACCTGACAGATGAAACTGTATATGTTAACATTTACTTCCTACCTGATGTTTTTAAGAATATATACATTGTGGAATAAATTTAGCTAGTTAACAAATTCACTGCCTAACAGTTATTTTTGTGGTGAGAACACTAACAACCACTCCGTGTTTTTCAAGAATATAACACGTATACCGTTATTAACTATAGTCTCCATGTTGTACAACAGATCTTTGAACTTGTTCTCATATCTAACTGTAATTACATATTCTTTCACCTTCCCAAATCTCCAATGTCCAGGGTGGTGGCGAAAAGCAATGAAGTCAGCGGGTGGCCTTAGGCAGTGATCACCTTGCGCCTGGGCCATTCTAAAAGTAGTGGTGGTGAATTCCCAAACCTAAACTAAGTTAATCCACTACTCCTCCCGCCTCCGACCCTCACTGAAACCACAACTGATCCTCCTACCTCCCCAGCACACTCCCTGGCTCGCAACAGGACGCAGACAATTGCTGATCTACTTCCCTCTCGACACACTCCCTTCCATGCAGTCGCTATAAGGCCTGCATTTTTTTTGGGGATGGCGGTAAGATTTGCCCACAAGTCGCAGTTCCCTTTGGCCGGTTGGCCCGGAGAAACCCCTCCCAACTCACCTCTTGATGGTAACGCCTCGGAAGAGCGGGTACCACGCGGAAAACTGACAGTGCAGCACATGCTCCTTCTTCATCCTCCAGCTGCGGACGCCGCTGCCTTTCCCTCTTCTGCCAGCACCCTCCCGGAACCCTGGGCTCCGGCCCCGGAAGTGCCCGCCGAGCTATTTTGGTTCAAGGACTCTTCCGGTCCCTAAAGCAAGAAGGAAGACGGAGAAAAAGAAGCGAAGGAGAACCCCAGGGCATACGCTCGGCACGCACGCACACAAAAAGAGCTTTAGTTTCGAAAGAGGAATTACCGAAGTGTGAGAAAGGAATTTTAAGAAGTTTACGACTCCGCCTTCGCCCTAGACGCACGCTGACCCGGAAGGTAATCACCTGAAGCTCGGTCAAAGGCGGGGGCTCTACGGGTGCCGGGAGGAGGGTGCGCGCCTATCCTTTTAGGACCACAGTGGCGCCGGTATCTGGAGCCGTGGCACCGGCATCTGCTGACACTGCTCCCTCCAGCGAGTTCTTTGGTCCTCTTGCCTTCTTCACCGCTACACCTTGGAGTAAGTAACGGGGCGCCGGCCAATCTCAGCACGAGGTCTCCTTGGGGAGGAGAAGGAAAAAGGGGAGAGGGAGCACATCTGCATGGTACGTGCAGCCGCGCCGTGTCTGCCAGGCTGCGGCTGGGCACGCGTCCAGGCGCCCAAGACGGAAACTGGGGATTGGAGCGGCAGAGCCTGGGCTGCTCCGAGTGAAGAAAGCGGGAAACACCACAGCTAAGTGCTAATTCCAGTGTAAAGGTCGCAGCATCTGCAGAGGAGTAGAATGCTTGGCAGAAGGAGTACCGCCTGTACGATCCTGGGGGTGGGGGGGTTCCACTTGGGAGGTAAAAGACAAGAGGTAAATTTCGGAAAGCAGAGGAAAAAGGAGTCTTGTCTTCTTGGAGCGTTGAATTCATTTAGTCTGGCCTCGCAAAAGTTATCAATCTAGAAAAAAAAACACACACACAGATTTTTATCAGTATTCCTGCAACGATGGAAGCGTAAGACTGGGAGAATTCGAACTTGTAATATCTTTCTTTTTTCCTTTGCATCACTCCTGTCACCCAGCAAAGTTCAGTTTTGTTTGTTTCGTTTAAAGAACGAGAAATAACCAGCTGCTTTTATTTATTTATTTACTTACTTATTAACTTAAACGGAGTCTCACTCTGTCGCCCGGGGTGGAATGCAGTGGCGCAATCTCGGCTCACTGCAATCTCTGCCTCCTGGATTCAAGCGATTCTCCTGCTTCAGCCTCTCGAGTAGCCTGAGAGCGCGCGTGCCTCCAATCTCGGATAATTTTTGTATTTTCAGTATATTTAGAGATGGGGTTTCACCATGTTGGCCACGCTGGTCTCGAACTCCTGAACTCAGGTGATCCGCCCGCCTCGGCCTTCTAAAGTGCTGGGATTACAGGCATGAGCCACCGTGCCCGGCCTACCAGCTGCTTTTAAACCCTAGCCGTGTCGCCTACCTCACGAGCTACAGGCTTGCCCCAAGCATCTGTGTCTAAAGGCGTACATTTTAGGTACCTCCTTAAATGTACATTCTTCCTGGTCCACCTAAGTAATTTTAAATTACAAAGAGATAGTCGCGCCAACTGCAGGCCTCTTCAGAAGGGTATTCCTTAGGATAATAAACAGAATTCTCTGCATATTTTGAGTTAGAAACTCTTCTCCTCAGGAATATATACATTGTTTTAGGCTTGGTTTGGTTTTTCTCAAAAATGTGACTGGCTAAGTGGCGAACTAGAAGCAGTGCTTTGAAGAATACATTTTCAAAGCAGAGTATATTGCTGGAGGTTGGGCAGTATTCATTTATGCCTCCATCTGGAATTATGCAACTGTTTCTGTTTTAAGGGAAAGAATTATGCAATTGTTTCTGTTTTGAGGGAAAGAAAGAAACAATCTCAAATAATTGTTTTCATTTGACTTAGAAAGTGAAAAACTGCGGTGGAAGGAGATGTTAGCATTGATAGAGATGTATTTAGGTCAGATGTTTTCTAATGAAGATAGGAATTAATAAATATATGGGAGAAAATAGATCCTGGGAACATAGGAGCAGTACTTTAACAACCGGGAAACATTTAAGTGTAGGCCAGACGCGGTGGCTCACACCTGTAATCCCAGCCCTTTGGGAGGCCAAGGCGGGCACATCACATCTGGTCAGGAGTTTGACCAGCCTGGTCAATGTGGCAAAACCCTGTCTCTACTAAGATTACAAAAATTGGCCAGGCGCGGTGGCTCACGCCTATAATCCCAGCACTTTGGGAGGCCGAGGCCGAAGTGGATCACGAGGTCAAGAGAGCAAGACCATACTGGTCAACATGGTGAAACCCCGTCTCTACTAAAAATACAAAAATTTAGCTGGGCATGGTGGCGCGTGCCTATAATCCCAGCTACTCAGGAGGCTGAGGTAGGAGAATTGCCTGAACCCAGGAGGCGGAGGTTGCGGTGAGGCGAGATTGTGCCGTTGCAGCCTGGGTAACAAGAGCGAAACTCCGTCTCAAAAAAAAAAAAAAAAGATTACAAACATTAGCCAAGCCTGGTGGCACATGCCTGTAGTCCCAGCTACTCGGGAGGCTGACCCAGAGAATCGCTTGAATCCCAGAGGCAGAGGTTACAGTGAGCCGAGATTGCGCCACTGCACTCTGGCCTGGGCAAAAAGAGCAACACTCCGTCTCAAAACAAAAAAACAAACAAACAAATACTCGTTTTTAGTTGCCAGGCACAGTGCCTCACACCCGTAATCCCAGCACTTTGGGAGGCTGAGGTGGGCGGATCACCTGAGGCAAGGAGTTGGAGACCAGCCTGGCCAGCATGGCGAAACCCCATCTCTACTAAAAGTGCAAAAATTAGCCAGGTGTGGTGGTGAGAGCTGTAATCCCCGCTACTCAGGAGGCTGAGGCAGGAGAATCGCTTCAACCCAGGAGTCAAAGATTGCAGTGAGCCAAGATCACACCATTGCACTCAAGCCTGGGTGACAAGAGTGAAACTCCATCTCGAAAAACAAAAAGTTTACCTAATAAATGATCAGCTCTGAGACTTTCAAAGGAATAAGTGCCTGTTTTCTTAGTACGGCTGTAGGTTTCAATATGCTAAACAACTGTCTCTAAATATTTAAACTTCTACGTGGCTTACTTATAAAGTCCCCAGATTAAACAGGCCTGGCCTGATCACTCCTGTAGATTACTCTTCCTATCTTCCACTCTTCTCATCCTTTTTAATCTTTGTGAAACGTTGAGTCGCTTGACATAAATTTTGTGTTTTTCCTCAGTTTCTCCCCCTCTCCTCACAAGACAGTGAGGCGAGGTGGGTGGGGCCCTTGTCCTACTCACTGCCACTTTCCTAACACGCCATCCCACCTTTCACGGTCCACCACAAGGGACTCAGCCAGGTTACCTGCAGTAGTCAGTCAGATACTGGATCTGTAAAGGCGCTTTATGAATACATGTACAGTTTGTTTTGTTGTTGATTGTATTTTAGGACAGGGAACCTTGCTGTCTGGGGCACAAATTGAAGATCAGGTGGATAGTGTAATTATCACTTGGAGTCCCAGAAACAAAGAGCAGACTCCCTTTTTCCTCTCAGAGACTTGGGAAGAGAGTTGATGCTGTGGGCTGTATTTTCTTTGAAGCTGAAGTTAGGTGGGGCAGGTTAGGGAATGATGGCCCCTGAGTGCAGTGGTGCAATCACAGCTCACTGCAACCTCCTACTTCTGGGCTTGAGTGACCCTCCTGCCTCAGCTTCCTAAGTACCTGGGACTACAGGTGCATACCACACCTAGCTAATGTTTTTGGCTTTTATTTTTGTGGAGACGGTTTTGCCATGTTACCCAGGATGGTATCAGACTCTTGGCCTCCCAGAGGGCTAGGATTGCAAGTGTGAGCCACTGTGCCTGGTCTAAGTAACCGTTCTGAAAAGAAATAAAAGAGAAAAACATAGGGGAGGAAATTATCAGTGAATAATTCAAGAAAATTTCCTGTAAAGCATAGTAAGAAGTTTACAGATTGAAAGGACCCGCTTGACTTCCCAGTACAATAACATCAATGTGAAAATGTGACTAACTACAGGCTTCCAGAAGAGGAAATCTGGTCACATGGCAAAAAGATCAAGAATCAGAATAGCTTTGGATTCTCAACAGCAGTATCAGAAGCAAGACAACTAAGCAGTGCCATGCAGTTTCATAGAAAATTGGCTTTGGGCCTCTAATTCTATAGACAGCTGAAATATCAATCTACCGTGTGTGTAGGAAAAAAAAAAGGCTTTGGACAGACAAGGTCCAAAAATGAAGGAATAAACAAAGAAAGAGGAAATAGTAATATACAACTAATGGGATAAGGGCCTGCTCTTTTCTCTTTTCTATTCTTTTCTTTTTTTAGAGACAGAGTCTTGTTCTCTGTTGCCAGGCTGGAGTAAGTAAAGTTAGTTTAGGTATAAAGGATGGATAAAAGACTGAGAGGTAGGCATAGAGAGTGCTATATCATGTTTCTGTTGTCTTCCCTTGGAAAGAGTTTAAGATTGGGAGTCAGAAAAATCAGGCTGGGCACAATGGCTCACGCCTGTAATCCCAGTACTTTGGGAGGCCGAGCAGGGCACAGATCATTTGAGGTCAGGAGGTCGAAACCAGCCTGGCCAGTGTGGTGAAACCCCATCTTTACTGAAAATATAAAAATTAGCTAGGTGTGGTGATGGATGCCTATAATCCCAACTACTCAGGAGGCTGAGGCATGAGAATCACTTGAACCCAGGAGGCAGAGGTGGCAGTGAGCTGAGATCACGCCACTACACTCCAGCCTCAGCAACAGAGCGAGACTCTCTCAAGAAAAGAAAAATCTGATGAAGAAGGTCTTGAAGTGTTAGAACATGCACGGCAGGAGCTTGGCTGGAGTGGCTGACTGTGGCTGAGACTGCTGTCACTTTCTTCCTAGCTGATCCCGGGGCCTCCATGTTCACGTCTGCATCTATGCCAGTTCCCTCAGAAACAGACACGCAGTGTTGATGGTAGATAATTTTTTTTGCCATTTAAGTACTTTGATTAGTGGCCTGTGGATGAATGTTTAATGCAGAAAAATAATTTTAGCCTAAACAAATCTCATTATCTTGCAGGGTGAACTTCTCACCTGAGGGTAAAGACTAGTTTGAAAATGGAGAGCCAAGAACCAACAGAGCCTTCTCAGAATGGCAAACAGCATATTATTTCAGAGGAGGTATAACTTTTCACTTTCCTTTCCCCCCCCCAACATAAATCTGAGTTTAATAGAAATATATAGGCTACTTGTCGTTACAAAGGATGGTTTTTCATTCTTGAAGACAGTTTTTGCAGATTTTTCCTACTCCCTTTTTTGGGCTTGGGCAGCTTGCTCTTGTGTGGGAATAGCGTGTTCCTCTGTGTGTTAGTGAAATGGAGACTGTAGGTAGATTTGGGCTCTTAACAGAAAAATTCTTAATCCTGTGTTTCCCTAAATAGAAGAAGAGAGAGTAGATGGATTTGAGGACTCAGATATTTCATATGTAGTTGTCACAACTTGGCTGTTCATGGTCCCAGCATGAGTCAGAACAATAAAAACCTACATTGTTAATTGTAGTCTCAGTTCCAGTGAGTTCTAGAACCAATGATGTCTGTGTGTTGTCCAATTTAGCTTTAAAAGTCTCTTCCTGCAGGAACCATTGCAATGGATAAATTTTAAATCCTTCATCTTGGTACTCTGATCTGGACACCTTTCCGGAATTCCTTTTGATTTAAAACCTTTCCATATTGTCTGTGAACAGATCTGCTGAAAATTATTAGGTTGCTGCTGGCAAGAAGTGAAAGATAGGATAGGAGGAAAGAGGCTGCTGCTTTATGCATGCAGTGAAGCCTTCCCTCAGTTCAGTATAGTGCCATAGGTAAGTTAGTCTTCAGCACCACAGCTTCTCAGTGTCCCAGCAGAACGAACCTGGGGTGCCCGTCTCCAGTTGGGTGGGAAACCCAGAAACCCATATATCATGATAGGAAATCCAATCCTGGACCTGGTTTCCCCACAGCCTTCCTGTATCATCACTGACAGGAAAATACCAATGTCCTAGAAATGCCCATTTCCACATACTAAACTCACCTGTGTTGTATGCATTCAGGTCAGGGGACAGACCATCAGGAGCATCCCAGGAGACCCTCACCCCATGTGCTCCCTTCTGTTACCTCCACTCCCCCCGCCCCCAGGAGTTTAGACTGTCATTTCTTTCCACCTGTTAGTACTACCCCCAAGAAATAGCAAAAAGAAGCAGAACTGCCCTTTCAAAAAACAACTCTGAACACCCACCTACTCTGAACTGAAAAACTTGCCCACAGATTATTGGGAAGGAAGCACGATTATTGGGGGGCTGGGGAAGGACAGAGGAAATGTGAAAGAAAAAACCCTTTTAGATAAAAACAACTTGGTTTGAAAGTTTCCCAACTTATTATCTGATATCCTTTTAGTTAATTTCAGAAGGAAAATGGGTCAAGCTTGAAAAAACGACGTACATGGATCCTACTGGTAAAACTAGGTAAACTTTGTTTTTTCTTCTTCTAAAATGTTCATTATTTGGGTTCTCAGGTTATCTGTTGAGTGTTTTGCATAAACTTTGATGTTTTCTTCATAAACTCTGTTTTAAATAAAAAATCTCATCTAGCCGTTTTCCTAGTGATAGGGTGTTTGGATCATTTTTAATTGCTGAATACAGCTGGGTTGGAAACATGTTACAGTAACTAATCAGAAACCTGTTTTAATACAATTCTCCCTAAGTAGACAAGTGTAGACCTAAAACTTTTGGGCCAAACCTAATTGAAGCTGATAAAGCGACAGAATAATTAACAGTACATGTTTCTTCCTTCTAGTAAAATCAGTTTTTAATTTCTACATGGGAAGAAATAAAGCAAAAACATTGCTAATTTTGAGGTACATGCCTGCCTCATGGAAATGCAAATCAGGAAAAAAATGTTTTATACAGCTTATTTCATAATATATGTCAATAGCCCTAAAGATATTGCGCCCTTTGACCTAGTAATCCCAGTTTTAAGAAAGTATTAAGGCCCAGGTGTGGTGGCTCACACCTGTAATCTCAGCACTTTGGGAGGCCGGGTGGTGGGGGGCAGCAGTCGTTTGAGGTCAGGAGCCAAGACCAGCCTAGGCTACATGGTGAATCCACATCTCTACTAAAAGTACAAAAATTAGCCAGGCATGGTGGCATGGGCCTGTAATCCCAGCTACTTGGGAGGCTGAGGTAGGAGGGTCGCTTGAACCTGGGAGGTGGAGGTTGCAGTGAGCCAAGATCTTGCCACAGCACTCCAGCCTGGGTGGCAGAGTGAGACTCTGTCTCCAAAAAAAAAAGAAAGTATTAAGTAAATTAGTATTTGGAATTAAATTTATGTATAGAAAATGTTCACCAAAATTTTAAAAGACAGAAAATTTGAAAGCAACCTAAATATCTTAAAAACAGAAAATGAATTGTGATTCTGAAGACAACTGAGCAATATGGGAAAAGTTTATAAGCTGATCATAAAGAAGAAAAGTATGCATATACTTTTCATACTCTGCCAAATAATGTGTAAGAAAAAGCCGGAAGGAAAATTATAGCAAAATAAGAAGCTACGTGGTTAACCTTCTTCCTTTTACTTTCCAGATGTTTGCATAATAATCTTTTGATATTATAAACTATCAGAAAAAAAGTGTGAAAACAAATTTTTTAGTGAAATATAAAAAGGAATACAACAGAATGAGAACTAAATTTAGTGACCAGATTACATGATACAAATTCATCAGTATGAAAACTCCATTTGCAAAGTGATCCAATAAGAGAACGTGATTTCCCTGTGATGAAGTGTATCATCTAGATGCAAATGCATGGACTTGCTAGCAATCTGAACAACTTTGAGTATATTTACTAAACTAGCAAAGCCCTTAATAAGGCCTAATGTAGGAGAGCTGTGGGAAAAATATTAAGAGATAGATAGCATTGTTGAATTAAAACCCAGCAGTAAGAAAGCTAAGCACAGTATGATCCATTGACAGTGTAGCTCTTCCCTTAAAGTGCCAAGTGAGTTTGATATGGAAAATGAAATATGTGAAAGAAGTAGGGGCCAAACCCAATACAGAATCGTGGCAAGGCCCGTCTTAGGGAGCACTGTATTCAAATGCATTTATATTGTGAAAATATAGAGAGCTTGGAATCCAGTGTATAGTGATACAGTTTGGTTCTCTTTTTCCTATAAAATTAAGTTTATAACACAAAACATAGCCCTTAGTAGGTCTAAACATGTGTTTGAGGCCAGGCACAGTGGCTCATGCCTGTAATCCCAGCACTTTGGGAGGCCGAGGCAGGTGGATCACTTAAGGTCAGGAGTTTGAGACTAGCCTGGCCAACATGGTGAAACCCCATCTCTACTAAAAATACAAAAAATTCCAGCTACTTGGGAGGCTGAGACAGGAGAATTGCTTGAGCCTGGGGGGTGGAGGTTGCAGTGAGCCGAGATTATGCCACTGCACTCCAGCCTGAGCAACAGAGCGAGACTCTGTCTCAAAAAAAAAAAAAAAAAATGTTCGTACCAGCTCATCTCTTCATCTGACTGTTCTTCTGCCCTTCCCGCATTTTGTAATCAGGGATGTACCTCAGAATCATAAATACTCACGACTAAGTCTCACTTCCAGAGCATCTGTTTCAGTAGATTGGGAGTGGGCTCTAAAATCTACCAAACGACTATATTTGTAGCATGTTCATGTCCATTCCTCCATACATAGGATTTTTTCCTGGCCTCTGAGGAGGACTTAGGTAAAGCATGAATATTTCATACCAGAATGTCAGGCTTTGAAGAATGAATCTGTGTACTTTTCAGTATGCCACGATTTATAAGTTACAGGTTATGTTATCTGTGAGCAGCCCTGATCTGAAAATCTGAAATTCAAAATGCTGCAATATCCAAAACCTTTTCAGTGCCAACATGATGCCACAGGTGGGGATTCCACACTTGACTCTATGTGACAGTTTGCAGTCAAAACACTGGCATGCAACACAGGCATTCAGTGTCCCTAGGGGAAAAGGGACCCTCCCCTTCAGCTCAGATACAGCCTTCTTTTTTGTTGTTGTTGACGGAGTGTTGCGCTGTTGCCCAGGCTGGAGTGCAGTGGTGTGGTCTTGGCTCACTGTGGCCTCCACTTCCCGGGTTCAAGCAATTCTCCTGCCTCAGCCACTCAAATAGCTGGGACTAGAGGTGTGTGGCACCATGCCCAGCTAATTTTTGTATTTTTAGTAGAAACATGATTATCGGCTAGGCTGATCTCAAACTTCTGACCTCAGGTGATCTGCCTACTTTGACTTCCCAAAGTGCTAGGATTACAGGCGTGAGCCACCACGTCTGACCATATCCTTAAATTTATTTAATTTTCATTTTTTTAGTAAAGACAGAGTCTTACTATGTTGCCCAGGCTGGTCTCAAACTCCTGAACCCAGGCAATCCTCCTACCCTGGCCTTCCAAAGTGCTGGGGTTTCAGGCATGAGCCAGCACACCTGGCCCAGTATATCCTCTGCACACACACACCGACTTCCCTCCACACACACACTCACAGGGTATAATGAAATGGCGTGTGAGCAGGCTGGATGCCTCTACAGCAGCTTCCCCACAACACCCTATGTGGAGCCAAGACCTATGTGCATGACTCAATGTGGGGTTCTTTTGCTTATTTTCTGCTCTATGGGGTAAAGATACCGCTGAAAATGTCAGAAGGCCTGCATAAGACCCAGAGGGTAAGGCAAATATTTCAAAATCTGAAAAACCAAAATCGGAAATACTCTGGCCCCCGACATTTCAGGTAAGGAATACTCAGCCTATACAGCTGTTGCTTGGAAGCTGTCGGGATTGGTTCCAGGACCCCCTGCAGGTACCACACAGATGCTCAAGTCCCTTGTATGAAATTGCATATATTCAGTATGTATTTGCATATAACCAGCGTACATCCTCCCATGTACTTCATCTGTAGATGAATCACAGTATCTAACACAATGCACATGTTTTGTAAACAATTGTTGTACTGTGTTGTTTAGGGAATAATGGCAAGAAAAAGTGTGTACATGTTCAGTATGGATGCAATTTTTATCCCAAATATTTTCAATTTGGTGGGTTGAATCCACAAATGCGGAATCCATGGATATGGAGGGCCAAGTCTAAGAGATAGAATAGCAGCTAGAGAATCCTGTGTTCCACTGTCTCATTCATGAAAGGGGATGTGGAATTCGTTTTAGAAATATAAAAATATTCCAGTGGTGTGTGCCTTTCTTGACATTCAACACAGTGCCGAAGTCATCCTCTGCGACCCTCCGGCCTCTTGTGTTGGTGGACTAGAGGGGGGAAGGCCAGCAGGCTTTCCTGGAGCAAAGGAAACTAAGAATAGGATGATCTCACTGAAAGCAGAATCCTAAAGCTAGAAGAGGTCTCGGAGGTAACATACTCATTCCTGCTTTTTACAAAGGAGAAAAGTCTCTGGGAGGCTGGAGTGCTGGGCTCAGCTGGTAGGCAAATAGAGCTGACTTCCCATTAGGTGGACATCTCACAGGCCCTTTGAAGTTGCTGGCGCTCTCATGGGGCAGTCTTGTTCCAAGATTTCTTATAAATGCATTTATATTTTATTGTTCATGAATTATGGCTCGTTACTGCTTAGTTTCTTCACCGTAACCACGATAATGATGCTCCTCTTTTTGTTTCCCTTATTCCTAGTGTTTGGGATGGGACCTTCAGTGCTTTTCCCAGCACTGTCTTCAGTCTTTAGGACTAACCTTAAGAGGCAGCAGAGAGAGCTATCCAAAGGTGTTTCATCTCTTGCAGTCTGTATGATGTACTTACCGGCACTGCTTGTTGGTCGGCTCCTTGCTACTAACAGGCATGTTGGGCTGCTGTGAGTTGTCATAGTAGTCTCTTTGATTTTCCTGTGTTCATTTTGACACATTTGCCCTTCAGAATTTGGGTACGATGCTGAAAGACCTACAATTTCCAGAAAGTCTTTCTGTTTTGTTGTTTTAAAAACCAGATTAAATATTTGAACAATTTTAATGAAAAAGTGACAAGGTCCACATTTTAGGGACAGCCAGATAAAAAAGGAGGGTTCTTCCAAGGAGATACGGCAGCTCTTCCTCTTGAGGATGCAGGTGGTAAACTCCTTTCTGTCCCAAAGCCACCCATGTCTCATTTCCTTTGGAAGAGATCCTGAAATTGCTGAGCAGTCTCTCACCACTGCTTTTTTCTATCGTAGGGAGAAGAGAGTGAAGGGGGAATGTTTCTTTATGCCTCTACCCTTTCAACTGCATTAATTGTTTCAGTAACTGGGTTCCTGTACAACTGTGCCCCTTGTTCAAGGCCAGAAAGTAGAATAGCACAGATGTTACCCCAAAACTGAATTGGGTAATAGAAACAAATAGGAACAAAGCCATACAAGAGAGCAGGGCTGTTACTCAGCTCACTTTTTCTAGATAAGATCTTACACGTGCAAGTAGAGCACTTGCCTACGTTTAACAATTCCTCCATTCACAAATGGGAACGTTCTGCTTTCCCAAATTGTATATTTTAGGTCACATTTTAAAAATCAGAATTATATAAAAATCTCAGTAGTTCATGCTGTGCACAGTAGCTTTTTTTGTTCTTAGACATGGGATGAGACTTTTCCTATGGCTTCATGTGTATTACCTGCTTATTAATCCATCACTGGCTGTGCTCCTTGCCCAAAGACAGAGGATCCAAACTAAGGTGTTCTGAGAAGGCGGCAGCTCACATGCTCAGCAGGCTTTCTGTTTCGGGGGCACCCAGAGGCTGAGGTGTAGGGTGGCAAGAATTTTCATTGTTAATTTTCAGAAGCTATTTTAACGCAGACTTTTATTGCTGTGGTCTTCTTGACCAATATCTTGAGTACATTTGCATGCATTGCATTTAAGAAGTTCTGGTTGTACACAGAAAACCTGACAGTTCTCTTCTTTAGCACTAATGACTTTTTTTCTTCCCTGCCTGAACAGAACTTGGGAATCAGTGAAACGTACAACCAGGAAAGAACAGAGTGCTGATGGTAGGAGCGCAAACCTATTCCAACCTGTCAGAAGGGAACTTAGCACTGTGCTTGTAAGAGGGGTTTTGATGGAACCAAGTTACCTTCCATTATGATGTTGTATCTTTTTTTTTTTTTTTTTGAGACAGAGTCTGGTAGAGCAAGGCCGGGGGTGGTGGCTCACACCTGTATTCCCAGCACTTTGGGAGGCTGAGGCAAGTGGATCACAAGGTCAGGAGTTCAAGACCAGACTGGTCAACATGGTGAAATCCTATCTCTACTAAAAAAAAAAAAAATCATACAAAAAAATTAGCTGGGCATGGTGGCTCCTGCCTGTAATCCTAGCTACTTAGGAGGCTGAGGTAGGAGAATTGCTTGAACCAGGACCTAGCAGGGGCAGAGGTTACAGTGAGCCGAGATCGTGCCACCGCACTCCAGCCTGGGCTACAGAGTGAGACTTCATCTCAAAAAAAAAAAAAAAAGAAAAAGAAAAAAAGAAATTGTTTATAGCCATTACTGGGGAAAAAAAAAAAGACAGACTCTTGCTCTGTCACCCAGGCTAGAGTGAAGTGGTGCGATCTCAGCTCACTGCAGCTTCCACCTCCCGGGTTCAAGTGATTCTCCTGCCTTAGCCTCCCAAGTAGCTTGGATTACAGGTGCTTGTCACCACACCCAGCTAATTTTCTGTATTATTATTTGCCATGTTGCCCAGGCTGGCTTCGAACTCCGGATCTCAGGCAATCCACCCACCTCGGCCTCCCAAAGTGCTGGGATCACAGGCATGAGCCACCGCACAGGGCTATGATGTTGTAGCTTTAAATCTATTAGTTTTGCCATGCTACGTAACTAAATCAAGCTTTCTTTATAAGTAACTTCTGTCTTTTATATATGCTCAGAATGGTGTTTTTGAGGGGAAGTTGTTCTAATGTTTGTAACTAAATGTAAATTAGCATAATTTGAAGCCACACACTGTGTCTAGATGTGTTATGACTTCTAGAAGTCCTTGCATCCTGTTGAAAGGATCTGGGCAAGAGCCTTAAGTTTGGAAAAGTTACTTGGCACAGATTTATGCTTGTGGACCACTTGCTTACAAGTTGGTGAGGACATGAAATTGGGCAAAGCCCATTCCATTCACCTTCCCCTCCAGGCATGAATGCCTTGACTGCAAAGAGCCCAGAAACCATCCTGAGAATCACCTCTGGTTGAGGGCAGGTTGGGCACTAGGATTTTCTTAGTGTTCCATTTGGTTTTGGTTTCTGTTTTTGCTGGAAGCAAACAGTACCTGGGTAGCAGCTGCTGGGCTTCACGGATAGGAGAACTATGGGAGCCAAGGCTCCCTCCTGGGTGCTTTGTGTTTTTGGAAACCCAGTTGTTTTTGTTTTAATTTTTTTTTTTTTTAAATGGAGTCTTGCTCTTGTTGCCCAGGCTGGAGTGCAACGGCACGATCTTGGCCCTCCACAACCTCTGCCTCCCCACAACCTCTGCCTCCCGGGTTCAAGCGATTCTCCTGCCTCAGCATCCTGAGTAGCTGAGATTACAGGCACCTGCCACCACGCCCAGCTAATTTTGTATTTTTAGTTGAGATGGGGTTTCTCCATGTTGGTCAGGCTGGTCTCAAACCCCTGACCTCAGGTGATCCGCCAGCCTCGGCCTCCCAAAGTGCTGGGATTACAGGTGTGAGCCACTGCGCCAGCCTATTTTTGTTTTTCTTATGTTTTGATGAAGGACCAGTAACTTGGGAGAAAAAGTCTTTTACCCCAAAACTGTGAAATCAGTCTTGCAGACAGTGGAACTTACTTGATTTATTGCTCAGAGTTGACCCAGGAGCTCAGGGATGGCTGTGGCCTCACCTGTGCTAGAGCTGCCTCGGGGTGGGAAGCGGTTCTGTGCAAGGTTGGTGGAGGCAGAAACCTTACATCCTTGACCCTGTAGGAAATGTTTGTTTTAGTTCTGATTTTACTTTGAAGAAACTGTGACAATTAAATAGGCCTTTTGTTTAAAAAAGAAAATGTAAACAACAGAAGCGATTTCTTTTAATTACATTTTCAAAATAGCTTCCAAGATTAACTGCCAGTATTGTAGATGGATGCGGAGTTTCTTAAAGTCTGGGGTTTTCATTAGCTTGCTCTAAACCACGTGCTGGCGTTGCTGACCTCTCATCGGGGATTCCTTGGTTCCATTTCCTGGTGACAGGTGTAGCGGTCATCCCTGTGCTACAGAGAACGCTTCACTACGAGTGTATTGTTCTGGTGAAACAGTTCCGACCACCCATGGGCGGCTACTGCATAGAGTTCCCTGCAGGTGAGTCACTCAGCACTGAACTGCTTCTCAGGGATGTGGGCCTGAACCAGGATACAGCCTGAGAATTGCAAAGCTGAGCTCCGCAGTTTTCATCTGTCCTTTTGGTTCTAAGTAAAACGAAACATTTCATAGTGAGGCTCCTCCAGGCCTCCAGGACACTCCAGCAATTCTCTGAACCCATGAAGGTGACGCAAGGCCACCTCTTACCCGTCCCACCTCCTCTTGGCCATGCTGTCTCCAGCCTTTTGAGTAATTGCTCTTCCCCAGTTTGTCAGCTTATTTCATTGTCTGTCACTAGCAGTCTGCTTCGACAGGAAATTTTCAATCAGTAGGCCAGGCTTTTTTTTTTTTTTTTTTGCTGTGGCATGATCTTGGCTCACTGCAGCCTGTGCCTCCTGGGTTCAAGTGACTCTCCTGCCTCAGCCTTCCAAGTAGCTGGGATTACAGGCATGCGTCACCACACCTGGCTAATTTTTGTATTTTTAGTAGAAATGGGGTTGCACCATGTTGGCCAGGCTGGTCTTGAACTCCTGACCTCAGATGATCCACCCACCTTGACCTTCCAAAGTGCTGGGATTATAGCCTAGGCCAGGCTCTTAACTCCAAAAATATGAATGGAGAAGACAGTTTGCTCTGCCCTACGGAAACAGGCCAAGGAGACTCTTCATGTCAGCTAGAATATTTTTCTCCATTGCACAGTAATTAAAGTGCTCTACAGTTTATTGCCCTGTATTATTGTAGGACTTTATTGGATTGTTCCATCTAAAGAGATTAAATCGCGGTGGCTCACACCTGTAATCCCAGCACTTTGGGAGGCCGAGGCGGGTGGATCATGAGGTCAAGAGATCGAGACCATCCTGGTCAACAAGGTGAAACCCCGTCTCTACTAAAAATACAAAAAATTAGCTGGGCACGGTGGTGCATGCCTGTAATCCCAGCTACTCGGGAGGCTGAGGCAGGAGAATTGCCTGAACCCAGGAGGCGGAGGTTGCGGTGAGCCGAGATCGCGCTATTGCACTCCAGCCTGGGTAACAAGAGCGAAACTCTGTCTCATAACAAAAGTAATAAAAAAAATAAAGAGATTAAATCTCATCTGTTTATTAGTGGTATATGTTATTTTATTATTATTATTTTGAGACAGAGTCCTGCTTTGTTGCCCAGGCTGGAGTACATCTTGGCTTACTGCAGCCTCCGCCTCCTGGGTTTGAGAGATGCTCCCGCCTCAGCTTCCTGGGTAGCTCGGATTACAGGCAAGAGCCACCATGCCCAGCTAATTTTTTTATTTTTAGTAGAGATGAGGTCTCACCATGTTGGCCAGGTTGGTCTTGAACTCCTGACCTCAGGTGATCCACCTACTTTGGCCTCAAAAAGTGCTAGGATTACAGGCCTGAGCCACCAAACCCAGCCAAGATTTTATGTTTTAAAAGGCTAGCCAGTGGTAACTTATGGTTAACAACTATTATTTTCCTCATTTCCTCACCATGTTATTGAAGACTTTTTGTTGTTGTTGTTGTTGTTCATACTGGAGTGCAGTGGCACGATCTCAACTCACTGTAGCCTCCGCCTCCTGGGTTCAAGCGATTCTCCTGCCTCAGCTGTCTGAGTAGCTACAGGCATGTGCCATGATGCCTGGCTAATTTTGTATTTTTATTAGAGACAGGATTTGTCCATGTAGGTCGAGCTGGTCTTGAACGCCCAACCTCAGGTGATCTACCTGCCTTGGCCTCCCAAAGTGCTGGCGTTACAGGCGTGAGCTACTGTGCCCGGCCAGGCTATGTAATTACTTTTAATGTTAACATTAATACTTTCTTTTCTTTGAGATGTGGTCTCTGTTGCTGAGGCTGGAGTGCTATGGCACCATCACAGCCCATTGCAGCCTCGACCTCCCCAGGCTGAGGTGATCCTCCACCTCATTTTTTTGTGGTTTTTGTAGAGACAGGGCTTCACCGTGTTGCCCAGGCTGATCTCCAACTCCTGGGCTCAAGGGATCTCCCGCCTCAGCTTCCCAAAATGCTAAGATTACAGGCATGCGCCACCGTGCCCAGACTCTTTTTGTGAGACTGTGTCTTGCTCTGTTGCCCAGGCTGAAGTTCAGTGGCATAATCACAGCTCATTGCAGCTCTGACCTTCTGGGCTCAAGTGAACCTCCTGCCTCACCTTCCTGGACAGCTGGTACTACAGGCGTGCATCGCCACATTTGACTAATTTTTTTTTGAGACAGAGTCTCGCTCTGTTGCCAGGCTGGAGTGCAGTGGCGTGATCTCAGCTCACTGCAACCTCCGACTCCCTGGTTCAAGAGATTCTCCTGCCTCAGCCTCCCAAGCAGCTGGGACTACAGGCACATGCCACCACACCCAGCTAACTTTTGTATTTTTAGTAAAGACAGGGTTTCACCATGTTGGCCAGGATGGTCTCATCTCCCGACCTTGTGATCCACCTGCCTTGGCCTCCCAAAGTGCTGGGATTACCATGTTGGCCAAAGTGCATGAGCCACCATGTTCAGCCCATTCAACTAATTTTTAAGTTTTTTGTAGAGATGGGGTTTTGCTGTGTCACCAGGGTGTTCCCAAACTCCTGGCCTTAAGTGATCCCCTCCCTGAACCTCCCAAAGTGCTGGGATTACTGGTGTGAGCCACCGCGCCCAGCCAGTTATTCATTATATTTTTTAATTCCTTTCAGGAAAAAGAGTCTACATTGCTGCTCCCTTTCTCCTCCTTGGCCTCTCTGTTCACTCCTCACAGTGGCCATGGGCATCCCCTAACCTTCACCAGGTTCAGTCTGCTCCTTTCTGATCTTCTATTGCCAGGCCTCAGTGTTTTGTTATGAGGGAGTAAGACAAGACAGGTGATGCTGTCAGCATCCTCCATGTCAGGAAACAGAATATGAACAGGCCACCTGTGCTGCAGACACAGAGCAAGCTCCCAAGCCTACGCCAGTCGGCCACCACCAAGTCACAGCTCCTCTCAGATGCTGCCCATGCTGTGCAGAGCAGCGTGGAGATGGTCAGGAAGGATCTGGGTCTGAATAGGAGGACTGGGTGATGTCACCAAAACCTCATTAATCTGCCCAGAGTTTTATTCTTTTGCCTTTTTGTTTCTGTAAAAATTCCAGGCTGGGCACGGTGGCTTGTGCCTATAATCCCAGCACTTTGGGAGGCTGAAGTGGGTGAATCACTTGAGGCCAGGAGTTCGAGAGCAGCCTGGCCAACAAATTACAAATTTGCAAATGCAAAATTAGCCTCTACTAAAAATACAAAAATTAGCCGGGCATTGTGGCACACACCTATAGTCCCAGCTACTCGGGAGGCTGAGGCAGGAGAATCACCTGAAACCGGGAGGTAGAGGTTGCAGTGAGCCGAGATCGTACCACTGCATTCCAGCCTGGGCAACAGAATAAGACTCCATCTCAAAAAAAAAAAAGTTCCAATCCTTAGGTTTCTCTGCAAGACCACTTTTCACAGAGCTCTGATTCTTGTAACATAGCGCAGCGCCCGCTGCGTTAGTAGAATGAGGAGTTCAAAGAAAACTAGATTTCCCACTCCCACCGTACCAATGCTTTGGACTTCCAGGTCTCATAGATGATGGTGAAACCCCAGAAGCAGCTGCTCTTCGGGAGCTTGAGGAAGAAACTGGCTACAAAGGGGACGTTGCCGAATGTTCTCCAGGTTGGTATTGCTTGAAAATTCAGCAAGCGATAGACTCCTCGGGGTGGGAAGGGATTATTTGGGTATTCTTTATGCTGAGAATTCACTGAAGAGAAATCATAGATTAGGATTGGTTACCAAGTATAAGTGATTCTCCCTGCCCAGGAGGAAATTGGAGGCAGAAGGCCTGAAGTTGGGGGAGAACCTTAATGAAATTAAATTCTCTTTTGGCCAGGTGCGGAGGCTCATGCCTGTGATCCCAGCACTTTGGGTGGCCAAGGCAGGTGGATCACCTGAGGTCAGGAGTTCAAGATCAGCCTGACCAACATGGTGAGACCACTTTTCACAGTGGTTTCACCATGTCTCCACTAAAAATACAAAAATTAGCCGGGTTATCATGGTGCAATTTGATGTGGTAAAGAGATTTTACAACTTGACAGTACTGGAGCTCTGGAGAGAGTGTGGGTACCCAAATGCTTTGCAGCCTGTAGGTCTGCTGACCCAATGTGAGAGCTAGTTTTCCTACATCACCTCCACGTCCACTCTGAGCGGCGAGACCCATCTTCCTAAGATTAGTAGCAGAACAAAAGACAAAGGGACTGAGGCATCTGTCCCTTCTCTCCACAGCTGTCTGTATGGACCCAGGCTTGACGAACTGTACCACACACATTGTGACCGTAACCATTAACGGAGATGATGCCGAAAACCTAAGGCCCAAGCCGAAGCCAGGTACGTGTGCGCTGGCCATGTTGAAGGGGGTGCAGTTGCATTGTGTTGGAACTCGCTGCTAGTTTAATTTGGCAGAAGAACGTAGTCTTTCATGGAAAGCATCTGCTTTCAAACAGACTTCATCAGTATTCTTGTCTCTTCCTAATCATGTTTTTTAGCATATTTCTTTTACCACTTCATTGGTCTTTATGCTTTGTAGAAAAAGTTAAATGACCTATTTCCCTGTTTTCTGTAGGAAGTGTATCCCCACCTACTAATACGAGCTGCAGGCTTTAGTAGTGAACAGTGAGTCCACCCTGGTTTCTGTCTTCACGTATATTGTAAGAATGGCACAAATTCCCCTGTAGTCCCAGCTGCTCTGGAGGCTAAGGCAGGAGGGTCACTTAAGCCCAGGAGTTGGAGGAGCTCTGATGGCGCCAATCCATGACAGAATGAGACCTTGTCTCTCAAAAGAAAGGCCTAAGTAATAGTTAATGTATCAGTGATACTCTTTAATTTCTTATCCTCTTCAGTTGTACGAATTTATGTTTCAGTATCCCACTGCAACTAATTTTAAGTCTTAATTTCTGCCGGACATAGTGGCTCACACCTGTAATTCCAGCACTTTGGGAGGCTGAAGTGGGCAGATAGCTTGAGGTCAGGAGTTCGAGATAAGCCTGGCCAACACGGTGAAATCCTGTCTCTACAAAAAATACAAAAATTAGCCGGGCGTGATGGTGCACAACTCTTCTCCCAGCTACTCAGGAGGCTGAGGCAGGAGAATTGCTTAAACCCAGGAGGTAGAGGTTGCAGTGAGTCAAGATCACCCCACTGCACTCCAGCCTGGGCAAAAGAGTGAGACCCTGTCTCCCATAAATGTATAAATAAATCTTAATTTTTTGAACTGCAGATATACATATGACACTGTGGAAAAGTTTGGCAGTTCCTCAGAATATTAGATTTCTAATATTTCTAATATTTTATGAATATTAGAAATATTTTATGACCTGGCATTTCAACTCCTAACTCCATACCTAAGAGAACTGAAACAAGGACTCAGATATTTGTGTGTCTGTGTTCATGGCAGCCTCTGTGGAAATAACCCAAGTGTCTGTCAGCAGATGAACTGCATACACAAAATGTACACACAATGCATGCACGCAGACATAAAATGTACACACACACATGCACGCAGACACAAAATGTGGTACACACACACGCACACAGGCACGAACTCACATGCTGGAATATTCTTCCACCATAAAGAATGAAACCTGCAACAACATGGATGAACCTTGAAAACACTGTACTAAGTGAAATAAGCCAGACACGGAAGGGCAAATATTGTGATTCTACTTAAGTGAGGTGCCCAGAATGGACAAACTGATAGAGAAAGGCAGTAAAGGCTGTTGGGATGGGGAATTGGCATTGTTTTAGGGGTGGGGAATTGGCATTGTTTTAGGGGTGGGGAATTGGCATTGTTTTAGGGGTGGGGAATTGGTGTTGAATGGATACCGAGTTTCTGCTGGGGGTTGTGAAAGGTTCTGGAGACGGATACTGGTGGCTGCGGACCATTCTGAATGCTACTTAATGTCACTAAATTGTACCTTCAGAGTGGTTCAAATGGTAAGTTTTTATATGTTCTGTATATTTTACCATAGTATACAGATTCATACCTATTAAAATTACACATAGAATATGCTTTAAATTTTGCTCCTAAACATTACGTGGAGAATAACTTCGTGCTGTTTAACGATGTATATAGATTATGTTAGCAGAGACCCAGGTTTCTGTGAAGTTCTCAAAGCCTTTTCGATGCCTCTTGCATGAAAGTCTTCCAATGTGACCACTCCAGGCCTTGCTGAAATGTTGCCCTTCTGTTTATTTCCAGGGGATGGAGGTACGTTCTGCAATTCCCGGTGGCCGAGCGTGTGTGGCTTAGTGTAGTGGTAATGGCTGCAGACATTTTGGGTTGTTTTGGTAGGCTCTTGATGTCAGCTTTGTTTTCACTTGCACTTTGTCTGTTTAGAATTTGTGGAAGTCATTTCTTTACCCAAGAATGATCTACTGCAGAGACTCGATGGTAAGCATTCTCCAGACCGTCACCCAGCTTTCTCCAGTTTTCCCCATTCCCATCCCAGCAAACTGGGCTCTAAATATAACTCCATTTCTTTATCTTTTCTGTATCACTAAAGTCACATGCCTAGAAACTTGTAAAACTGCAGTTGACAACTACTAATTTTCCTTTCTGAGTGGCACAGAGGGTGAAAACAGGAGCAAAGCCAAGGGCAAGCTTTTGGTAGGGGCTTTCCTCCTACAGAACGGTCCAAATGACATTGCTGCTGAGTTGCCAGAATGATTCTACACTTTAAACCTTCAATCAATAGCGATGCAAAGGTGTGGGTAGATAGACTGTTAGCTTTTCCTCAACTATGCTAGTATGACGGATGTTCCTTTGTGGAGGGTATAAGTTTAAGAAGAAACTGACAATATTCCTTCCACAAATACTTGAGGTAGCTCCAGTATACTCAGTGTGATATGTTCTTCACATATAAACCAAATAGCTGTGTGGCCCTTTGAAATGGCTGGTCATGTAGATCCATCATATAATTCTTGGCTAGCCCACCTTTTAGGGACTTTGTAAACAGTAAGTAAGCTTGTGGGGAGAGAAGTCCTTTGATAAAACCACAAGAGGAGATACTGTATGGAGACATGGCATGGGCCCATCGAGGAGCGCCTCTGACCTGGCTGCTAAATCCCTTTTCACCCATGCATACAGAAGCAGACATGTTTCATTCGTGTGGTTATTTTATTGGGTCTAAGTGTTTTATGTAATTGATACCTGATTTTTCTACTATTTTTAAGTGATTACTTCAAATGTGACCTGAAGCTTTAGGACCAGCTTCTTTAGCTTTTTCCTGAGCATCAGTGGCTTACAGTTTTAATAAGCAGAGCACCTGGTTTTGAAATATCTGTTGTTTGTTTGAAAATTGTAATAGATCTTTCAAAGGCTGCTGTCATTTCTTTGTATAAAATCAGATTTCAGATCCCTAGACAGCTTCCACTCCTGTTCCACCTTTCTAAAAACTAGACCTAAGGTGAAAGCCACCTTGACAGCTCAAAGCTAGAGTTAGGCAATCAGACTGAAGAGACACAATAATTTATCAGGTAGGTATTTAGAGAAAGCCATGGTAGTCAGTACAGGCAGTGCAGCTCGGAGCCACAGCCCAGCTCGGTTTGAGGCTCCGGTTTGAGGCTCTGCTGACCATAATTAGCTATCATGTCAAACAGGTTCTGTAGCTTCTCTCAGCTGTTTTCATGAAACAGGAAGAATAATAGACAGCCCCTCCTTCTGAGGAGGTGTGTAAAAAGGAGGATGCTGTAGGCAAGCGTGAAATGCCGTGGGTAGTTGTTTTTTAGAAGAATATCCTTTTTAAATCGTCTTCCTTCTCCCTTCCACCTAACTTCACTTCCCTTTTGGTCTTAGAAGAGGGACAAAAAATAGAGCAAGAGATGGGAGGTGGACAGAGGGCTACTGTGGCTCTAAAGGAGGAGGGATAAAAGAACCAAATTGGCCAGCTTTAGTACAATCAAAATATAGCAAACCGTTTATTCAGCCAGCAACATCTGAGAAGTCACAGGAAGGTATTGTACTTTAAGATCAGTTTGCTGGCCATGCACGGTCTTCACGCCTATAATTCCAGCATTTTGGGAGGCCGAGGTGGGCAGATCACTTGAGGTCAGGAGCTCCAGACCAGCCTGGCCAACATGATGAAACCCTGTCTCTACTAAAAAAATACAAAAAATTAGCTGGGCATGGTGGTGTGTGCCAGTAATCCCAGCTACTCAAGAGGCTCGGGCAGGAGAATTGCTTGAACCCGGGAGGCGCAGGTTGCAGTGAGCCAAGATCGTGACACTGCACTGCAGTATGGGGGACAAAGTGAGACTCCATCTCAAAAAAAAAAAAAAATCAATTTGCTACAAAGAGTAGCATCTACTAGTTACTAAGCACCTGCTGTGCCCAGGTAAATAGGACATGCTCTCTGCCTGCCGATGTCCCCAAGCTTGTTCCCAAGAAAGAAGCTAGGGAAATGAGGCTGATTTTACATCTGGCAGCCTCCACCTGAGTGAAACAGAAATTTTAATGAAAGCCCGTGGTAACAAGGTTCTGAGACCGCATTCTTGGTAGTATACCCCCAGTCCTCACATGCACACCATTTAACTTGCCAGGGGAGATTATGTATCCACTCGCAGCAGAAACGACATGTGAAAAGCCTAAGTTAAGATCCCATATAATCATCCCCATCCATTTTCAGAATAGCAGAGCCCTACCTAGCTATAAATGAGGTATAGTGACTGGCTCTATAAACTTCCAGCTCTGCCATTTTAACACATAAACCATTATGCCTGATGTTCTTTTCTCATGCTAGGAATGTCATCTTGCCTTTATAGTCTTTATTCTTTGACTAAGATCCTTACAGGCAAAAAAAAAAAAAAAAAATGTATCACCAGCATCTAGCGTAGGAACTGGCATATAGTGCTTACTCCACAAATACTGACTGAATAAGATGTTTTGTCCTCCATTACCGGCATGAACTAAGATGTTTTCTTTGCTTTCCACAGCTCTGGTAGCTGAAGAACATGTTACAGTGGATGCCAGGGTCTATTCCTACGCTCTAGCGCTGAAACATGCAAATGCAAAGCCATTTGAAGTGCCCTTCCTGAAATTTTAAGGCCAAAGATGACACTGGCCATTTTTGTAAACGAGACCACCTGGCCTTCTTCACTAAGACTCTGTCTTCAACTTAGCTTAATGTAGATTTGAAATTAGCTTTTTCATAAAATAAAAGCAGCACAGAATGCATGTGGTGGTGGTATGGAATTGTAATTACAGGTAGGTTGTGACCTTTTGAATTCGTTAAACTCCAGCCAAAATTAACAAAAAACAATATAAATGCAAGTACATTTACTCCAACTTTTTAAAGCTCAACAGCAGTTAATGACAACTCAATTACTTTTCTAGTCTAGACTGGTAGACGGGTATTTGTATGGGAAAACAGACCTAAGTTCCCAATTAGCTCAAGTATTTCCACTCTCAACCCCAATATAAAAAATTCTATAGCTGGGCATGCAAATAATCATATACTCCATTAGTGTTACAAGTAGCTTTAAAGAGAAAAAAAGTGCCAATGAAAGTGACTGCCATCAAGTTAAAAAAACAAAAAGAAAAAAAGGACTTTTTGGCCTCTTCTAAGTGAATTTTTACTCTGCACAGTTCAGCTAGGGTAGTTGAATCCAAATAGGGTAGGATTCAATAGAATCCTCTACTAGTTTTAAGTCCACCTATTTACTGAAAGCTGAACCAACTTTTAAGTAAGGAAAATGGTTGATTCCATTCACTACACCAAGGCTAGAAGACTAATGAGAATTCAGGGCCATCCCTCAGGCTTCTGCATATACTTTAGGATCTCTTTTCCTATCCTTACCTCAAAGACTACTAGAAGTTTCTGAAAACAGATCTTTAAGACTGACATGGTTTGGGGCACTATTATCTTGATGTTAAACCATGAACAGGACCAGCAAGATGAGCCAGTTCCTGAAACCCAATACAGAGTACTTCAGAGCAAGAAGTGCAGGTTGACTCTGGTTCCCATACCTGAAACTGTCATCTAGCAGTTCTCCCAGTGTTCCTGGGCTATTTTCTTAGCCTCTTAAGTGAGTTTAGCTCTTTTTGTGTTGACTCTCTGGCCTCCAGCAGCTCCATGATCTTCCAGGACTCTTCAGTCTGGCCCCACGGAAGTCTCAGGATGATTCTCATCCAGCCATAAGTCATGTTTCTAGCCTGGATCTAGGAGGTAAGCCAGACCCCGAGAACCATACAAAAGGGTTCTCTAGATAAAATGAGGTGCTAATGCCAGAATGCTACAATGTCATCGATTTGCCCACAGGCTCACTGTCTGACCCAAAGATAGTTTTATGAGTGAAACTCTAAGATCTTTACAATGGTCTTCTTAAAGATAACAGTTATGGAAATATAGAACTTTACAGATGAAGTTATCTAGACCTATACATGTGAAAATTAAGATCCAACTACTTCCTATAATGGTAACCCTTTTTTAAATCCTGATTTCAATCACAGGCATTGTGATTCTCCAAAGCTCTAGCCCTTCCTTGATCTCTCAAGGCCACATCCTGTAAGTGAAACCGAGAGAGACGGCATCTGGAGATGGGCACAGCCCAGTATTTCCACATTGCCCAGTTCCTCCCCAGCCACTCCCCACGGGAATGACCTCTGCAGCTGACCTTTGTCCTTCCCTTTTTCCTAAGAGTGCAACTTAGATGTGACAGCCAAATCCTAGAATGTATCTCTAAATGCCATTTATTTTTTTTTTTTATAAACGTGAGAAAGTTGTGCTTTGGAAATTAAATCTGTTTGAGAACTGGCAGTCCAGCTGGCACTGTTTAAAAATTTGCTCTGCATTTAAAAACTGAAGGTTTCCTGTGTATTTAAAGCCTTATTTCCACCAAAAAAATTGACATAACAACATTGGATAGATGTTTTTATGGTAACAGTGGTCTGAGGCCCTTGGGAGATGTTCTCCAGTGAGCCGTTGTTAACGTCCCGCCTGCCTTTATCTGCCTTGCCCCTGTAATTATTTGGCTTCATAAGCATAAGCTAAAGAAGAGATACTATACTTAAGAATGTACCATACTTCTGAAAAGGGTCTCCTTTAAAAATTGGGTTTGATCTTTTGGGAAATAAAGCACATAGTTTTTTAAAGTGACTTACCAAAAACTATGCTCTTTCAAATGCAGACTGCGATATTGCTTTGAGGCCAGTTTTCCTGTTCCCTCCCAAATGTTAGTTACAGCTATGAGTACCCTCAAGGTGGTCACTGTCCCTCAATAATTTAGGCTGAAAGCTGTACGTGTAATTACATTTGGCTTTTAACAGGCATCTCAGGGTGGACTTTATGAATACACTGAACCTCTACAGATATTCTAAGAAAACATTTAATATCATTTCTTTTTTCCAACACAACTGAATCAGTTTTCTTAAATAAAAGTTTATTGTCTACTGTTTACACTCATGTTGCTGCTATAAGTACAACAGACGCAAATTCCTAGCATGAATTACTCATTGTTCACCCCACTGAACCACAGGCATTGCTTGAGAATTAGATCTTTGCTTTAGGGATTTAAACAGGAAAGAACTGGGACCTATAACCTTGACAGTCTTCTCAAGTGACTGGTTAGAGTTAGAAGGCATAGCCAACACAGGCCAACAGCACTGCTGATGCTGTCACTGGGAAGAGCGGAGGAAGAGGCCTTAGAAGCAGCTGTTTCTAGTAACAGAAATAACTGGAGACTTGATTTTGCCCATGTCGGCTAAGTGGCTGCTTTGAGAAGGGACAAATAAAAATGAGGTGGGGGTGGGGAGTGGGGATACCATGAGTTAAAAAAGTATAAAAAGTAATTATCTAAAATATAGATTAGATATAAATGTTCCAGAACTCATTAAATAAGCTCAAAAATACTGGAAAGTGGCAATTTGAACTACATTTATTTTTAAACAAGTGGGGGCAATATTAAGTGTTTTGAATGTTGTGTGCAAAACGAATCCATGTCACCATCTCACTGTCATGATTTAACACAGCAAGGTAGATACACTGGTTTCCAGCATTACAGGCAACACTAGATGTACGTTTTTTAGCGAATAATGTAAACTTGAGTTTTAAGGCAGCGGGTACTAATGCTGCGCAGACTTAGCTCGGTGCCCGTTTCAGAAACAGGTCAGTCAGCACTTGAAACAAGAAACTGTGAGGGGAGAAAAGGGAGCCACTGGTGTCATGTGACAAAAACGATCCATCAAAATGTGTTCTCTTACACACGCACAAAATGAAATATTTGAACATTTAGAAAAACAAAGCACCCATCCCACCAACTTCGGCCTGTTCTTTCACAAATATTTCAAAATACTGATAGATAATAGTGACTGCTAGCAGAATTCCAGTGCCGGATCCAATGGCCCCCAGGAAGTCGGCCAGCACCGACAGGGCACCAATGCACAAACCGCCAAACGCAGCCGCGGTGGGGATGTACCTAGGAGACAGAACCCCGAGTTAGGCGGCGGCGAGACCACGAACAGCACAGCAGCTACAGAGGAGACAGGCCACGGCGCAGCAGCCACGGTTGTGTCTAAAGCCTCCCTGAACTCCAGAAGGAACAGGCCGCCATGGGGAGAGGTATGCAGGACACAGCATGGGAATGGGAGCTCAGATCCAGGCAGAGATTCTGACCCTAATTTCCAGAAACCAGCCAATAGCCGAGAAAGATGATGCATGATCTTATGGGAGATAGATTCCTGGGCAGATTTAAATATTAAAATGTTTAATGTTTTTAAATGAGTAACCTTTCGTTCCCTCTTGTGTTGTGGAATGAAGAGTAAGTTTCAAAATGCTTTCTAAGTATCATCATAAGATTCTGATGATCCACTTCAGTAATTCAACCTCGGCTGCACGTTAGAATCACCCGGAAAATTTAAAAATGGGATTTAAAATACTCAAAAAAGCTTAAACGAGAACAGCAGGATGATGAAAAATGGAGATTCATCATACTACTCTGCAGGCTGTGTTCTAAATAAATAGAAAGTCTGTAAAAATACTAGTGCCTTTTCAACAAATGATGCTGGGACAACTAGATACCCACATGCAGAAGAAGGAATCTGGATCCAACTGGGCACAGTGGCTCAAGACTATAATCCCAGCACTTTGGGAGGTTGAGGCAGGCAGATCATGAGGCCAGTTCGAGATCAGAGGCTAAGGTGGGCAGATCGTGAGGAACTTGAGATCAGCCTGGCCAACATAATAAAACCCCGTCTCTACTAAAAATGCAAAAATTAGCCAGGCATGGTGGCAGGCACCTGTAGTCCCTGCTACTTGGGAGGCTGAGGCAAGAGAATCACCTGATCCCAGGAGGTGGAGGTTGCAGTGAGCCAAGACCACGCCACCGCACTCCAGCCTGGGCATCAGAGAAAGATTCTGTCTCCAAAAAAAAAAAAAAAGGAATCTGGATCCCTAACTCGCACCAAACACAAAAATTAAATCAGGTCACAGGCCTAAATGTAAAAACAAATTCCTAGGAGAAAGGAATAAATTTTTGTGGCCTTGGGTTTCGTTAGATGAACACCAAAAGCAGCACAAAGCAACCAAATATATATATATGATTTCCTCAAAATGAAAAACTTGTACACCAAAGGGTATCACCAAGAAAGTGAAGACAGCTAGGCACAGTGGCTCGTGCCTGTAATCTCAGTACTTTGGAATGCTAAGGCAGGCAGATGAGCTGAGCTCAGGAGTTTAAGACCAGCCTAGCCAGCATGGTGAAACCCCATCTCTACTAAAAATACAAAAATTGGCCAGGCATGGCGGCGCATGCCTCTAATCCCAGCTACTTGGGAGGCTGAGACAGGAGAATCACTTAAAACCAGGAGGTGGAGGTTGCAGTGAGCTGAGATGGTGCCACTGCACTCCAGCCTGGGCGACAGAGTGAGGCCCCATCTCAGGAAAAAAAAAAATCGCTGGCTGTGGTAGCACACACCCGTGGTCCCAAGCTACTCTGGGAGGCTGAGGTGGGGAGGACTGCTTGAGCCCAGGAGGTGGAGGCTGCAGTGAGCTGTGATTGCCCCACTTCTCATGCACTCATCCTAGATGGCTAAAATTAAAAAGCCAGAATTAGTGCTGGCGAGGACATGCAGCAGTGGAACCACATACATGGCTAGTGGGAATGAGGAACCGGGCAGCCACCCTGGAAGATAGTTGAGCACCTCCTCAAAAATGTTCAACACACAGTCAGTTACCATAT